AAGATCACGCCATTGCACTCCAACCTGAGTGACAGTGAGACTTGGTCTCAAAAAAGAAAAAAAGTAGAATTCTACTTTCAGCTAGAAAGAAGAACAAATGAAACCTAAAGAAAGATTAGAGAGGAAATGAGTAAACTAGAAAGCAGAAAAACCAAAAGTTCCTTGAAAAGATCAGCAAAATTGGCAAACTCTTAGCTAGACTGACTACCAGAAGCATGGAAGAGGCGACATCATCACCAATCTTACCGAAATGAACAGGCCTTGGAATACGGGGAAGAGCAACCAACTAGGTGAAGCTGACGAACTCCCAGAGGGACACAAATCACTTACACTGACTCAGAAACAGAAAATCTGAATAGACCTAAAACAAGAAATTATAGTCCTGAGAAGTCGTAGGTGTTCCTACAGGAAGCCTGTGCCCACAGCATTGTCAGTAACACAACCATTCACAATCTTCAGAATGTGGAGGACGAGACACGCCCCCTGAGTCTAGGGGCTAAAGGCGGCGAAAGGCGTCATGATCCCCACCCCCACCCCACAGAACAATAATGTCCGTCACGAACACAGATGTAAAGATCCTTAACAAAATATTAGCACCCCAAACTCGGCAACCTCACACACCATGACCACGTGGTTTGTCACAGCAGAGTGAGGTTCTGTAACATCTACAAAGCACTTAAGGTCGTAAGCTTCATTAATAGAAAACCATATACCTGTAATCCCAGAACTTTGGGAGGCTGAGGTGGGCAGATTGCTTGAGCCCAGTTCAAGATTAGCCTGGGCAATATAGCGAAACCCTGTCTCTACCAAAATAAACCAAAAAGAAACCAAGAAGTAGCCAGGCATGGGAGCGCATGCTTACGGTCTCAGCTACTCCCAAGGCTGAAACCAGAGGATCATCTGAGCCCAGGAGGCGCAAGTTCAGTGAGCTGAGATCGAGCCACTGCACTCTAGCCTGGGAGACGGAGCCAGAGCCTGTTTCCAAAAAAAAAAAAAAAAAAAAGCACCCATGAGATCCATCTCAATCAATGCAGAAAAGCACAGTACAAAAGTCCCACTCCTATTCCTGATAAAGAATCTCACAGCCCGGGAAGAGAAGGGGACATCCCCAGCTAGAAAAGGCCATCTGCATTAGGTTCCAATCGCTGCTGGGATAGGTCACCACCACCTCAGTGATTTAAAACAACACAAGTTTAGGCCAGATGTGGTGGCTCACACCTGTCATCCCAACACTGTGGGAGGCTGAGGAGGGTGAATCACTTTAGGTCAGGAGTTTAAGACCAGCCTGGCCAACATGGCGAAACCCCGTGTCTACTAAAAATACAAAAATTAGCTGGGTGTGGTGGCGCATGCCTGTAATCCCAGCTACTTGGGAGGCTGAGACCAGAGAATTGCCTGAACCCAGGAGGTGGAGGTTGCAGTGACCTGAGATCGTGCCACTGCACTTCCAGCCTGGGTGACAGAGCAATACTCCATCTCAAAAAAAAAAAAAAATACCCAAGAACCAAAACACAAGTGTATCTTGCGGTTTGGAGGTCGGTAGTCTGACACGGGTCTCACGGGACTAAGAGGAAAGTGTGGGCAGGGCTGCGTTCCCCGCAGAGGATCTGGGAGATGTTCTATACCCCCATCCTTTCAAGAGGCACTCTTGGCTCGTGGCCCTTCCTGCCACCTTCAAAGCCAGCAACAGCAGGCGGAGTCCTCCATGCCTCAAGGCAACTCCTCCTCTGCTTTTAAGGACCATACGATTCCCTAGGTTCACCTGGAAAACCCAAGCTACTGCATTTTGGGGAACTGACCTGAAATTGGCACCTCCTCTGGGTGGTG